CCCACCGGTGGTTGCTTTGGATATCCAGGATGAGATTGCAATTGATCTAACAAAATAAAATGGCATCAATGCTAACTAATCATAAACCAATCATACTTTAACCTTATTTTTTGTTGTCTATACCTGGCCTTTTCCATTTTCCTGTTTTCGAGTTGAAGATCATTTAGATGGCATGTGAAATTTGGATCTTTGTAACTATTTGCACATAAATTACTTAGCAAAAAATCAGAACATGTTTCTCTTGCAAAATTAAGACAATTAGAACTAAATTTATATTGAAGACATTTTTTTTTATTGTAGACATTAGGAGGTTGAATCAACACCTTTTTTCCTTAGAGTTGATCGAGTATCTTAAATTTGTTAAACCTGACTAAAATATGACGGAGGTACCTTGTCCAAGACGTAGGATAGGTGCACGCGCACATCTCACACACTCTATCTTGTTCATCCTCTTACCCAAGCTCTAATAGCTTTTTCCTTTGAGTGGATGTGAAATGAGCTTCTATGGAGGATTTGGTTATAACTTTGACATCAACCTAGTAATACTCTACATATTGTATCTAAAAGATAAACTGCAAAACAACTCAAAAATACTATTGGAGAGAGAGAGATCATTCACAGCCTTTTGCAAAAACTTGAAAAAAAAGATGCACAACTTCAATAAGAAAATGCTAAAAAAAGATTGTAGCTGATGTATAACAGAATACAAAACCAAAAAGAACACAAGAGATAAAATTACAAAAAAAAACCCACCACAAACCCATGTGATGCATACCTTCAATTTCTATGTTACATCTTGACATAATGATTTTGGTTTGTCAATGAGTCTCCTTGGCATTGGCCCACCTCCATGCTCCGCTTGTTATTCCTCTATATGTCTCTACAGAAGCTTTAAGCAAGAAATTTTGGTGCATGTTCAGAGTTCAGACTTCTTGAATTTAGGGCTGAAAAATTGCAAGCTTTCATTACTAATAAATAACATATGTAATTTATTTTTGTGATTGCCGAATTATACCTGGGATTGAAGATACAAGCCTTAAAGCAACCCAAGAGTCCACATGAAGAGTAACTTTGTAACATTCACAATTGAAATTATGATATATAGAGAGATATAGATAGAGTATAGATTTTAGAACAAGATAACCAAAAGTCAAAAGATGTATTTATTCCTTCAATAAATATATGTAAATTCTTGAATATATATATGAATATTAGAGTCAATCAGTAAGACAACCTACTAATGTAGATGTCCAAAAGTTCTCACAACCATTGTGATTGAATGAAGAATATGAAAAGCTTAATTTTATGATATCATTTTGTGTTTTAAAGGTTATTATTGAAGATCACATGTTTTTATCATCTTTCAATATATGGAAAAAATGTCCTAATACTATTGTTTGGAGGTAAAAAGAAAAATAAATATTTTTCAATTATGTTGACATCTTAAAGTAGTATAGATTTTATGGAAGATCCCATAGAGATTGTTTGTATGTGGAATGAACAAAAAAAAAAGAATACCAAGAAAGGAGTGAATGGAGAGATCTTAACTAAATTCTTGGAAAAAATTATATTTGAACCCCTTCAACTATATATTTTATCTTACATTATCCCCTCAACTGTTATGTTTCTCATATTACACCTACTATTAATTTCACATTATCACACTCATAAACATTAGAATGTATATATATTGCTCCACACATGAAAATTTTTCACATTACCAAAGTTTGGTTGTGGGGCAGTGTAAAATCAATACAAATAATTGAGGGCTAATATATGAAAGTCAATAGCTAAGGAAAGGATTAATTTGCTAACAATGGACCGAGAAGGATTAAGATAGTTCGGATGAGGATCATATATATCTAAATGGATCTAATTGGGATATTCTTCGCTTAAATAAAACTTCATTTATCGATCGTCCTATCTAAGCCATGTAGATATCTTTGAAAGGGACAAAAACATAAATAATTCAATTGTCTGTATCGATGAGGTGTACTTATAAATATTTTATGCAAGATTCCATGGAAGAAGTTTGTCTGTGGAATGGACAAAAGAAAACAGCATCAAGAAAGGAGTGAATGGGCCAGAGGTTAACTAAATTCTTGAAAAAAAAAACTATATTTTGATCCCTCAACTATATGTTTTATCTCATATTATCCCCTCAACTATTCAGTTTCTTATATTGCATCTGCAATTGTGATTTTTCATTTTACATTACCACACTCGTAAACATTAGAATGTATACATATTGCTCAATATAAGAGGTTGTATAGGGATTGCCATAAGAAATGTAAAATCTTTGACAAAACATGAAGACACTGAAGCTGATAAAGGTGGGATTTTGGTATGGGTCGACCATCCCAAAAGCCCAATACGTTCAATGGGCCTCTGCATGCATGGCAACCCAGACAGCTCACCCACAACCTACCTACTCTAAGATTAGGATGGGATGTGCCCCAAAAGGAGGAAGCCCAACAGTGCCTGAAAGCTTGAAACTCAACCCAGCCCGGCAAGAAATCAGCTCAGGAATGAGGGGCTCAGCTTTCTTGTTGATCCTGAACCACTCTTGTCACGCCACATGGTCTGGGGGGGACAAGGAGACAACCTCTACTACCCCTAACGAACATGCACTCCCTGCCAAAAGGAATATTTGTGCACGTAACCACTCAAACATTGTGGATACAGTGGCATTGCATGGTAGAGGTCGCTAAAGGACAAAAGAAGAGGGGACCACAGAATCAGCAACAAGGAAGAGGAAGCCGTAAGAAACCTTAAAAGGATTATCTGTATAAATAGAACACTATCACACTACAAAAGAGGATCGGCAACTTCTTCATTGTTATACTTGTATTCAAAAAACATTGTTTGAATAGGCTTTAAGACCAACAACCCATTGTAATCTTCTTCTTTAAGAAATATACACACCCCAAGGAGAAAGAGACTCCATTATAGTGGACTTAACCTTAGTCTCTCGGCTAAGGTGAACCACTTATATATTATTTCTGATTCATTCTCACAGCTTAATCCACTGTCAATTCATATATTCACGCGATCCCCTCTCTGGACTATCAAGTCATCGTTCTGGACTTGGACTAAGCATTTCCGAGCACCATCAGTGTCTCTTTTCAACAATAGGACCACTCAGCAAAGTTGACACTGAAAACTGGCGTGTTGTGCTATTTTCAATAATAGGACTACCCGACAAAGTTGAAACTAAAAATCAGCCTGTTGTGCAATTTTTAACAACAGGACCACCCAATAAAGTTGATCTTATAAATGGATGACCAGGAAGTGAGGATTTTCAATTTAAAATCAACAACATTATCCTAAATTTTTGTCCAATGTTTTAATTGCCATAAGACAATTTGATTGGATTCAAAACAACTGGGTTAATGAAATGAAGTGTATCTGAGTCAAATTTGTTGAGCTTGAGTATGTTGAAGTTTGACTCGGGTTGTGACTTACCAAGGTTGAGCTCGAATTGAGCTCTATTGGTGAGGTTAGTTCTTGCTTAAGTTTGTCTAGGTAAAAAGTTACAAGCATTTGTGCCAACCTTGAGTTGAAACCCAACTCAATTTCTCAGTAAAAATTTTCAAGAAGTAAAACTCTAAAAAACTTAACAATCACTGTTAAGCTAATCATTTTCGCAACAAAAACCTCTCAATTTTTTTAATAAACTACAAGGTTAAATTTTCTAAATCCCTACTTTTCAACCAAAAAAAAAAAAATTCTTTAAAATAGAATACAAATTATATCTAATATTACAGTTAGAAAGTTGAATTCTCAACTTATAAAAATACAATAACAGTCAAGATTGATTCAATTCTTATTTACATTAGTCTAATAATACAAAACTCCTCCAAAAATTATTATTTTTTTCGCTCAAAAACATCATTTTCTTTGCATGACTCCAATGTCAAACAAATCAACCAATATATGCTCAATGCCTAACCCGATTAATCCACACTTGCGTCTTTTTTTTTTCTCTTCACTACCTCTCTCTTATTTTTTTTGTTCACTTTGATTTAAATTATATAATATAGGTGGGGGTTAAAAGAAGTTGTCACACATGTCTATGACAAGAGTAATTAAATGGGATAGGTAGGATAAGCAGATGGGATGGAAGGAACTCAAATAGCCAGTTAACGAAGGGATCAACCAATAGGGCAGAGGGTAGGTGGAGTAAATGATCTCTCACCAACAAAAAATTTCATCATTTTGCAAAGGGCAAGTAATGGGGGTATTTGTAACACAGTGTTCGGGCAGGTCATGTTGCTCGAAGGGTTGTCCATTGCGACCCCCTACCACTTGCACCAACCTACAACTACCTCGATCGAGGCAGATACCAGTGTCGGCTTAGCCGTGAGCCATGTGTCCAACCTTTAATTAGGTAGATGTGACATTTTCCCAAACAAAGCTTGGATGCGGCTCCATAGAGGGTACAACAGCCAATGTGAAAAGGGGCTTTCAAGGTCCATGAGTGGAACTGGTCATCACGGGACCATAACCTCGAGAGGGTTGTGTGTTTGCAATGCCCCCAGCTCGCTCCTTCTTGGGGTCCTCCCTTCCTTTTCTAAATCCTTCCTCAAGACCTTTGTCAAGGTGCCCGATAGAGGAAACCTATATAGTTTCAATCCTTAAGTAATCAATCCACATGTCACATCATCCCACATGTTGATCTGGACCAATAACCCCAGTTACCTTAAGAGTCCCTCTAAATCTTAGTCAAGCACATCTTAATGGGCAGTGGGCTATACACTGGAAGGTCTGCTCGAGTATACTAAACCTTCGAGATCCTATCTCAGGCCGAGATTGACAATAATGCTCATCTGCCCTCGTTGCTCAGTTCTCCCTAGAGGAGGGTCAGACTGCCTTGTCCTTAGGAAGAGATCCCTCTTCTTAGTCTAATGGGTCAGTCGAGCAACGGTGTCTAGTAGGTTGAGGATACCACTCTCGTAGTGGGGGAGGCTAGTCTCGCCAAGGTATGCCCCTAGACTTCTATGCTTCCACTTTTGTCCACCTTGGTAAAGGGTCCATTTTGCCACTTCCAATGCGATAGAAATGTCTTTCGCCCTATTGCGGTGTTGTGCTTGAGAGTGTCGCACCGTGGTTGTCATGCCTGGGGGAGCTGCACATGGGGGCATCACACATTGGTTGTTGTGCCTGAGGGCATTGCAAATGGGGTGTCGTGCCTAGGGGCATCGCACATGAGGTGTCTCGCTCGGGGGTATCTTACCTTGGTTATCATTCCAAGGGGCGTCGCACATGGGGTGTCACAATCGAGGGCATCACACCTTGATTGTAGTGCTCAGAAACGTCTCACCTTGATTGTCATGCTTAGCGCGCTGCACATGGGATGTCGCACTAGGGGATGTAGCACCTTGGTTGTCTTTCTTACGGGAGTCGTGCCTAGGGCGTCACACTTTGGGTGTTGCTCAAAGGGAGTCACGCCCGGGGGAGTTGCACATGGGGTGTCGCTTCCGAGGCATCATACTTTTTTTCACCTTGGTAAAAAGATCCATTTTTCCACTTCCAATGTGATAGGAATGTCTTTCGCCCTGTTGCGGTGTTGCACCCTACAACGTCACATCGTGGTTGTCGTGCCTGGAGGTGCCACACATAGGATGTCATGCCTAGGGGAGTCATACCTTGGTTGTCTTGCCTGGGGTGTCGCAGTTGGGGACGTTGCACATTTGTTGTCGTGTCTGTGGGCGTTGCACATTGGGTGTCGTGCCCAAGAGCGTCACACCTAAGGACATCTCACATAGTGTGTTACACCCAGGGTATCACACCTTGGTTGTCGTGCTTGTGGGCATCTTGCCTTGATTGTCATGCTTGGAGGTACCACACATGGGGTATCGCGCCTAGGGGTGTTGCACCTTGGTTGTCTTGCCTAGGGGCATTGCACATAGGGAGTCATGCTCGGGCATCGCACATAGGGTGTCACACCCGGGGGCATTGTGCCTTGGTTGTCGTGCCTGAGTGCATCTCACATGGAGTGTTGTGTCCAAGGGCGTCTCACATAGGGTGTTGCACATTGGTTGCCTTTTTGGGGGGCACCACACATGGGTTGTCATGCCGGGAGTGTCGCACCTTGAGTGTCTAGCTTGGGGGCATTGCACTTGGGGTGTTGCGTCCGGGGCCGTCTTACATGGGATGTCATGCTCAGGCCGCCGCACCATGGTTGTCATGCATGGGGCACCTCACATGGGGTGTCAGGTCTGGGGACGTCATACATAGGGTGTCGAGTCTGGGGGTGTCGCACTTTGGGTATCCCGCTTAGAGACGTTGCACATAGGGTGTCGCATCTAACACTCTTATGCATACAACTCTAGTTGGACTCTGTCGACCTTCACTTCCATGTTAGCTGATAATTGTTGTCACTTGTCCTATTATAGTTTAGACACGTGTCCTGAATTTATTTAGTACTACATGTAATTAAATTCAAAAGAAGAGAATAAAAGTTTTTGAATTGTATGTAGCCATGCAAGGATCAAATATGTTGGAACATAGTTCTGATTTCACTTGTTGGAACATGACTCTGATACATTTTGTTGGTTTTGCACAGTGGATAATTAAAAAATAATATTTGTTAGAAGATGAAAATTCAAAGATATGAAAACAATAAAGCAAAATATAAAGATATAACGTGGTTCAATACTGTATACCTACCTTGAAATACCATACATACATCCATGGACCAAGAATCTACATCGATGTATTATTCACTAAAATCTAGTTATCTGGTAACTGATTACATAATACTCAACTCTATTTATGAGGAAAAAAATACTATAACTTTAACCTATTCAGATACAGCTTGATCTTTATGTTTCCTATTTAATATACTTATTCATGGTATATTAAAAATCTTCTAATTTATTTCCTATCTGATTTGGTCACTAATAAACTTATCCATGGTTTATTAGAACTTTTACATTGATTACCCAACAAATTATCATCCATGACAATTAGAGAGTTTGAATCAAATTCTAACTGATGATACCTCAAAAAAACCCTAGTTGTGAGCTCAAGTCAGGAGGTCAGGTCAGGAGGTCAGGAAAGACACGAGGAACTCACAGAACCAGGGGTGGAGCTCCCCTTGGGGAGATCATAGCTGAACCAACCAGGAAACAGCTGGATGACTGCGAAAATTGGGCCCCATGCATGAAACTCTCAACCAACCAAGATTATCTCCTAAAATCAAGGAGAATCCCATANCTGTATACCTACCTTGAAATACCATACATACATCCATGGACCAAGAATCTACATCGACGTATTATTCACTAAAATCTAGTTATCTGGTAACTGATTACATAATACTCAACCCTATTTATGAGAAAAAAAATACTATAACTTTAACCTATTCAGATACAGCTTGATCTTTATGTTTCCTATTTAATATACTTATTCATGGTATATTAAAAATCTTCTAATTTATTTCCTATCTGATTTGGTCACTAATAAACTTATCCATGGTTTATTAGAACTTTTACATTGATTACCCAACAAATTATCATCCATGACAATTAGAGAGTTTGAATCAAATTCTAACTGATGATACCTCAAAAAAACCCTAGTTGTGAGCTCAAGTCAGGAGGTCAGGTCAGGAGGTCAGGAAAGACACGAGGAACTCACAGAACCAGGGGTGGAGCTCCCCTTGGGGAGATCATAGCTGAACCAACCAGGAAACAGCTGGATGACTGCGAAAATTGGGCCCCATGCATGAAACTCTCAACCAACCAAGATTATCTCCTAAAATCAAGGAGAATCCCATAAATAATGGGCAAAGATCTCGGCTGAAATTCCACGGAATAGGGGGCAGCCTTATAAATACTATGTAACGCCTCATCGAGAGAGGTGGGAAAAAAAACCCTAATCAGATTGTGCACTGTCTTGTATTACATTCAAATAATCAGTAGAGAAGAAAAGAAGCAAGAGCCTTCATTTGAGAGTGGATTAGCCAAGCTCTAGAGCCGGTGAACCACTATATTCCAACTGTACAAATTCTCTTATCCCCTAAGAAACACTTAATTATTGCCATTACGAAATTGGCAGCCTAACTTCACCATTGGTCCCACGCACTTTATTCACTCACATCAGTTTGGCACCATTAGTTTGGCGCCGTCTGTGAGAACAACTGTTTGTGTTACAAATAAGCTGATCTTTCAGTGACTAATGGTGTCAACACGAAACATGTGCAGAAGCCAAACAAACCCATTTCGGATGCAGAATTAACAGGGAGTCACTAATGGCAGACAGCCCTAGAACGTCCCAAAGACTGATCCTCCCATGGGGAATTTCCCTACAAATAACGAGATGGAGGCCTTTCGCCTCGTTAATCAGTGCTTGATAAAGCAAAACAAGGAGCTCTTGAAGCTCTTACAGCGCCCACAGGAGGCACGTCCGACCCAAGAAGGTTAGAATAGTCCCCACTACAAGGATCAACAACACCTTGATCCACTTAGAGAAGACAACGAAGGGGGGGGGGGAGAATAGCCAGACCTTGGGGCAGGTTCCCCAACAACCCCTAGGAACGGCCACAATGAGGAAGTACAAAGTCAGATTCATGAAGGTAAAAAGAATGATATCTTCCCTTATCAGCAAGAGAGAAGGGAGCAATATTGGGAGCAACGCTTCAAGGGTNAGGAAGTACAAAGTCAGATTCATGAAGGTAAAAAGAATGATATCTTCCCTTATCAGCAAGAGAGAAGGGAGCAATATTGGGAGCAACGCTTCAAGGGTATCCAACAGGAGCTCAGCCACATGAAGGAAGCGGTCAGAAGTAAAGCTCTAGTTACAATGGACGCCTTGGTGCAGCAGACTGAATCTCCATTCATGCCTGGGGTGTTGCATTTTCCCCTCCCACCAAAGTTCAGGATGCCACAGATAGAGTCCTTTGATGGAATCAGGGACCCCATGGACCACCTCAATACTTATAAGAACTAGATGGAATTGCACAGGTATCAGGACCCCGTACGCTGTTGAGCCTTTGCCATCACTTTGAAGGGTTTAGCCTTGGCGTGGTTTAACAGGCTCCCCCTGACCTCAATCTCTTCCTTCAAAGAGTTTTCCATTTTCTTCATATCCCACTTTATAGGGGCTTGAACCTATAGAAAGCCGAGCTATCACCTTTTGAATGTGAAATAGGGACCATAAGAAAACCTCATGTCATATGTCCAAAGATTTAATTCAGAGTCGTTAAAGGTGGATGTCCTAGATGAAAAGTTCGCCATCATTGCCTTCATAGCTGGTCTAGGGGTGCAGTCTAAAGATTTTATGTTCTCTATATCAAAAAATCCCCAAGCAAGTATAGCCGAGGTGCTTGCCAAAGCGGAGAAATACATAAACGGCGAAGAAGCTCTTCTTTCTAAGGTAGGGAGCTTTTTCGCACATAGAGATAAGGGAAAGGAAGAGAAAAAGAGGAACCGAAGTCCCAGGAGAGAGAGGGAAAGAAGCATATCTCCAAAGAGAGATAGATCTCCTAGAAGAGACAAAGAGCGATCCCCAAAAAGAAGGGGGAATGTTAGGGACCGCTTAGCCCCCCCGCAGCCTGAACTACAGTCGCGGTATGCACCTCAACAATATACCCCTCTCACTACGTCAGTGTCTCAGATCCTATACGAGGTGCAAAACGGGAAATTCCTAAGGTGACCTCCACGAATGAAGGCAGATCCGTTTAAAAGAGACCCTACAAAATATTGCGAGTATCATAGGGATCATGGGCATCATATTGATGATTGCATCCAACTAAAGAAGGAGATCGAGTTATTGAACTAGAGGGGACAGTTACGACGATTTGTCGCCCATGACAACCAGAATAGGGCTCCACCACCACCGGGACCCCAACAACAAGCCCCTACGCAGCACCAGCAACCCTTAGGGGAGATCAGAGTGATATTTGAAGGATTTGCTGGCGGTGGAGAATCCAGTGTAGCCAGGAAAGCACACCTGCGTAGGATCAGAGCTGATGAAGCGCAGGAAGTACACACTATGTCCAAAATACCTCGACTGAGCACAACCATCACTTTCTCGAATTCAGACTTGGAAGCNCGGTGGAGAATCCAGTGTAGCCAGGAAAGCACACCTGCGTAGGATCAGAGCTGATGAAGCGCAGGAAGTACACACTATGTCCAAAATACCTCGACTGAGCACAACCATCACTTTCTTGAATTCAGACTTGGAAGCCTGTCAGTATCCCCATGATGACCCGTTGGTCATAAGGGCCATTGTGGCAAACCAAATTGTTCATCGAGTTTTAATTGACAATGGGAGCTTGGCCGACATCATTTTTGCCTCTGCCTTCGACAAAATGGGCGTAGGAAGAGAGAAGCTTGAGCTAGTGAATGTTCACTTGATGGGGTTCTCAGGGGAGAGGGTGCTACCCCTGGGATCCATCCAACTCGTGCTCACTATGAGGGACCCTCCTTGTCAAGCCACCACCACTGTGAACTTCCTGGTAGTTGTCGCCTTTTCTGCGTACAATATATTACTTGGGAGACCATCCCTCAACGCAATGAAAGCTATCCCCTTAGCATATCACCTGNGCCTTGGTGACTACGACTAGGAGACTTAGACCATATTTTTAGGCTCATACTATCGAGGTTCCAATAGATTAGCCAATAAAGCAAGTGCTGCATAAACCAGAGTCTTCAGGAAGGCTAGTTATNATGAGGGACCCTCCTTGTCAAGCCACCACCACTGTGAACTTCCTGGTAGTTGTCGCCCTTTCTGCGTACAATATATTACTTGGGAGACCATCCCTCAACGCAATGAAAGCTATCCCCTCAGCATATCACCTANAGTTGTCGCCTTTTCTGCGTACAATATATTACTTGGGAGACCATCCCTCAACGCAATGAAAGCTATCCCCTTAGCATATCACCTGGTCGTA